CTACTACGAGAGAAGGAAATATTAGAAATTGATTTTAAAAACCAAAAAAGTGTCGTAATCTTAATTGAATATTCGAATAAGAAACAATCAATTCAAATATCCATTTGCATACAAGTTTACAAGAAACATCTATTTTGAGAAGTTTATTGAAGAAAATATGATTAATTCATCTCGTGATAAGATCGAGCCAGTAATCCGGTGACACGATGACACGTAATACTGTCGTGGATGATATATCTTTGGATCCTTAAAAAATCTTTGAGTCAACAAACACGCGGGCCAATTGGGAACTCAATATATTTCAGAACACATATATATATATCCTACGTGGCAACCTCATCCTTAATTACTTTTCAACATGTCAACGGTCAAATCACCCGATTGATATTGTTTCAAAAAGCGTTTTGGTTTCTCAAATTCGTTTTGTAGGTCGTTTTTCTAGATTGTTTTGAAGGTTATTACTACTGGTTTACCACGGTGAAAATTCCTAATAAACTTGGACATACAAATTTACAATCATCTATGACAATTTGTTCGGAGATAGATTATTTTACAAGCAATTTATATGTGTAAAATAATAAAATCTAAGAAAACCAAACCAATTAATAAGATGGATGATTTGTAGTCTTGTGTGACCACAAGAAACAGAAGACGTGTTACTAAAGAAAAGTAAAATTTAAATATTTTTGTAAGCAGATATCCAATCCAATAACGAAAACTGATTTCTCATTTACAAAAAAAAAGAAAGATAGAAAGTAGTATTAATTAAATAAAATATTAGTATATATCAAAGTATCAAACCAGAGAATAATCGGATAGATAGTTAAAAGGACTCCGACAAACTTGTAAAAACTCAAAAACGAGGAAGAGAGAGAGAGAGAATTTTAGATAGAGAAAAAAATGGCGTCACAGAGGTGTTACAGTAGAATTCAGGGTATAAAAAGGGTTAATCCTCTGTTTCATTCTTTCACATATCGATTCTCTTCCTCATCATTGTCTCTTCCATTCAAACCTAAACCTCACGCTCCTATTCTCACATCACAG